ACCGCGGTGCCTCGCTCAGTGGGGTCTCTCCTCTCTTATTCTAAGTGCTGGCGAGCCCGAGAGAAGAGAAGAGAAGAGAAGAGGAGACCGTGAGGCGAGCCGATGTTATCTTCTCCCCCGGTTGGTGAGGGATAAAAGCTTAAAGGCTGCAGCCAACTACGATGATACCACCGGTGTACGAGAGTGTCAGGACGCTTGAAGCCTCGAAGAGGCCTGCAACGAATGCGTGCCCGTACGAATCCCAACGGGGGGAAGGAGTCCGGGGCGCGCGGTAAAGGTGAGAGGACGAGAGGGAAGAGAGTGACTTTAAAGAAAGATCCGGGGGTGGGCGCGGGAGGGAGGGGAGGGGGGGAGCAGATCGGAATGCGGTGACCAGCAGGCAGTGAAGAAGGCTTCGTGCGTAGGGGGAAAGAGGTGAAACCGATGAACCGAGATAGACAGAGAAGAAAAGAGAGATTCGATAAGATGGAGAAGAAGTAGACTAACCTTGCGTGGCCAACACCGGGGGGACAGTGACGTACCCCCCGCGGAGGAACGCGCCAACCATATACATACTTACTCGCTTATGGTCGCGCGGGAGCGGGGCTTCCTCTCGCGAGAACGGCGGTCGCGGGGACAGCTTCCCTGGGGGGGGGACCCCCCGCGCCCGCCCATCCAGCGTTCAACAACGCGTAGACGACGCGATCACGCTGACCGGACATCGCGAATCGGCCGGACGTGACGCGATCGTGCGAAACGATGAACGGCGAGGAGAGAAGACCCCCACGACCCTCCCCGATGGCGAAACCGCTGTCGCGTTTCTCGTTTAACTTTCTAATCATGTTCCTTCTAAATGTATGTTAGTAAAATCTGATTTAAAAAAATGTCTGACGAGATTTGTTATTAAAATAAAATATAAAGATACCGTTCACTGTATCTTTTGTTTTAGAAATTTATGAATATTGCAAAATCTCAAAAAATTGCGAAGATTGAAAATTATTTATTATTAAAATATTTTTACTACGTACGTAAAATTAAATGAAATAGAAATAATAAATTTCATTATTCTACACGTTATAAATTATTTATATATAATTGCCAAAACGTATTTTTTCTTGTTATTCTATATCTTAGAAAATATATATTGAATTTTAAGCTTTTATATTGAGTCAAAATAGTGATTCCTTTACACACGGTTGTCGGCAAACTTCGTTTGATTAGAGATTAAAATAAATTTATTGTCTACGAGGGAAGAGACACCGAGATATCGTTGATGTCATTAAAGACGTTGCGTCGAGTAATTTAACTGTCTCGTTAACATAAATTAAAGCTGTATTTCATGTATCATTATGAAGTAACCGTACGCGTGTCACCGTTTAATGTCATCGTATAATGTAATCGTATGTTTGTCATTTTTCTAATCGATTTTGCTTCTCTATCGAGTTAACCTTCCATCATTGATTTTATTATTTCGTAAAATTGTAAATTATCTTATAAAAATGTAAATAATATTACAATACAATATGGAATATGTTTAAAAATAATTTATCCGAAGGCGGATCATGAATCGGACAATACACAATGAAACGGACAGTAGCAAAGTATTAGATAATCAAAAAGTTGGAAATTATGAACAGATCGATATTCATTGAGCTAATTAACATCGCTGGTCGATCGATCTCCATTCCAAGAGATTTATCGAGACCCGGCTGCGCCGTTCTAACTTATTAAGTTCACCTGACCCCGCGTACGCTCGATCGATCGATCGATCGATCGATCGATCGATCGTTCGTTCCGCAGGCCGATCAACGAGCTGTGAAATGATGACGATAATACAAATAGCTGGTGGTAAGAATTGTCGGCGGGGGCGGTAGATAACGAGGATGATGACAGCAACGATGATTTAGTGCCGTGCGCAAGTTAATGGCCCGAGAGGCCCGAGAGGCCCGAGGAGCCTCGGACGTTATTCTTCGGGGCCATTCACAACACTCGCCGGGGCCTTACGCTCATCATGCGGGCCCCCCGCGGATTCCGCACGGAGCTTAACCCCAACGTGCCAATTCATTTCACCTCGCGCCGGCGTTAGGCCTGGTTTATGGTAGCATTTACAATTATAATCGGCCCGTTCGGTCGCGATGAATGAGAAATAAAAGGCCCAACGGAAAAGAGACGCACGATACGAAAACGGAGGTGAACGGTGTGGAATCCGTGGTAAAAGAAGAGGCCCTTCTCTCGGACCCCACGGCACCTCCGCGTTTCATCGCGAACGCCGGAGAAGAAAGTTATCGTCACCGTTTTCGTGTTGCGGCAATAACTATTACTTATTCCGCGCGGGGAGAGCCGATAGCGGCCGCGCGTTTAAGTATCAACAATTTTGGAAAGATAAGTAGCGCGATAAATAAATAATAAAAAAAAAAAAAAAAAAAAAAACGACGACGGTACACAAGGAATTTCACGGCAAATCCGAGGAGCTACGGGGCAATCGCGTCATCGAATCCGTTATGAAGACGAAAATTATTACCCGATTGCCGTGTGGGGCAATAACGATCATTCATGCAAGAAAGAGCCGGCGAACACGTCTTTCTAAGAAGAACATTGTTAGCCCTTTGCACTCGGAGCCTGTATCCACTCGAACCGAGTGATGTAAAATAAGAATACGTTTCAGAGATTCTCTCTGTGAATAGAGAACATTCTAAGCGCATTCTTAGAATATTTCGAGTCTTTCCCGAGAATGAGAATATCTAAATAGCAGTCTCTAGAAGCTATCTATTTTGAATACATTTTCTTAAAAGTTCTTAAAGATATTTTTTATATATTATCATCTATATTTTTATCTAATTTAATGAAAAGTTATTTTAAAGATACCTCTCGCAAAATGGATAACGTGTCAGAAAAAAAAAAGAATATTTCTTAAACAAAATAAATCGCATCGCAATTTTCTTATATATTACTCTACATATAATAATAAGTTAATAAAATTTTTAAACATACTCTTATGATATATTTATAAAAGAATTAGTTTTTGTACGAGAAATTTCGCGACATCTTTTTGGGCGATAAAAAGCTTTAATTCATGGTAAAATAGAGATAACGGCAAAATGAACATTTCATTTGGAATGCATAATATAATACCGGATTAAGGACGTATCCACGTAATTATCCCTTCTGAGAAAAAGATGATTGTCTCGGTGACGGAATTTATGATAGAAAATATATTGCCCGTCGCGGGCCATCCATTTCACCAATCAATTCTTCGATTGCATTTCGACTTCGTGCCCGATTACGATCTACCTTCGTAGATGTGGCGTGACACCTCGGATGGATCCCGAGAAAAAAAGGAAGAGCCGCGGATCAAAAGGGGGGGAGGGAGCGGAGGACGGGAGGAGAGGAGATTCTCCTCGGGAATCATCGGGCCCCGGGGTCAGGGACAGTGTGTGAAAAGGTTTCAGGCAGCAGGTGTCTTCGGGCGCGGAGAGATGAAAATCTCGCGTCGGTATTTATCACCCGAAAAACCCCGGCCACGCCCATACTTCGATGGCCACAAATCAATCAATAAAGAGAGGACACGGGCTCTGCCGAAGAGGATGTGGGTTGAGCATTCTTTATTGGATATAGTCTATCAATTTATGCGTAACCCAAATAGATGAGCATTGAAAGAAAATTATTGATAAAACGCATAATTCTTCCGATGTTAATCTCAAGCAACTTCTATATCTGCCCAATTCAAGTTTCTTAACTCTTCTTCGTTTAACTCTTCTATCTTTGAAGATAGAATGTTTAATTCTAAAATGTCAATCCTACTTAATAAAATAATTAATTTATAAAAGTAAGCTTTAATGCAAAAGAAAATAAGCCGTTAAATCAATGTTTATAATAAAATATTTAAAATTAATTAGCATAATAAATAAATGGAAATAATAAATTTCTTAAAAATGACACTTAAACCTGTAAGGTCTTGCTTAGATGTAGTGGTCCCCCTGTGAAACATGTAAAATATGACGAATTAATTAAAAGTTATGGCTGATGGGAAAATTAATTATGCTCACGAAGAAGCGCTCACGTTGTACCGACGAAAGTGAATACGTTCATACGTAATATCCTTTTAGCGTGTGGCAGTAAAAAAAAAGAGAAAACTTGTACGAGGACCTGTTGAGGATTGTTAATGGTCGACGCAAGAGGAAAAGAAGAAAATATTGTTCGAGTTTCGACTTTCTTGAGACGAACCAGAGCAAGTTTAATTCAACGGTCATGAATCAAGAAACAAGCGAATCGAATCGTCGTGCCCAATCGGCCTTTGTATATAATCCACGGGTTAGCTCATTTGTCGTGTTAATAATTACAAGAAGGTGTGACTCCTCACTCGCTACACCTACGGACAGCCATATTTATGAATCTCAAGCCGTGAGTCGAGTCCTTAGGTCCAGGCATTCCCAACTTGTGTGATGTTACCAATATTTTTCCTTTAGCATTATCGTTAATTTAATTTATCTGTGTGTGCTCGTACTCAATTTCATTTAATTGCAACATTATTACAAGATGTAACGTTACAATCTTTGTACTTATGATTTCATTTTTTTACAACTTTCGCAAATAAAAATGCAATACTTTTCAATCTTATTTTTGTTTTTTCTTTTTACTTTCAATAAAAACATTTTTTAATTATTTTTGTAGAATTTATTCCAATGAGTACATACGTACATAGAATTTTGAAGTATATTTATTGTTAAATCAAGTTGGGAATCTCTGTCCTCAAGGTATATATACCGGGCCCCCGAGAACCGCGGGGGGCAACGTAAACTAACCGCCGGTTAATTATTGTCCTCTCACTCGTTGGGTCCAAGATTCCCCTCCACCTCGTAATCCGCGTTCCCCTCTTCAGCGGGGCCTCACGCGGACACGGTGGCTGCACTGCAACGGTGGAGGCGGGGTATAGCCGAAACAGCGGAAGGAGAGGAAGGAGGGGACCAGGGGGGGAGGGGGACAGTTGTCGGAGAACTCGAGGACTCCCGAAGGTCCGCTAAGGATCAGAACTACCGTGGTAGCATTCAATTAGCCTCGCGGCATGTGAAATATTATTGTCCGCCTCGCTTCATACACTCGATTTTTAAAAGGGGAGAAAGAAAGGCATTACGGCGATCTCCTAACATATTTCACCACTGAATCATCCCTCCCCTCCGGCTCGGCCCTCTCTCGTCTCCCGCCTTTCCACCGCTCGGCCATCGTTGCTCGACCACCGAGAAGTTCTTCGCGGGCAATCGTCTTGCGATTTTTGCCACCCGGTTTTGCGTGTTTTTGTTCTTTTCGAGTTCCGCGCGCGGAAATCCGAGAAGAGCGAGCATTCGACCGAGTGCAGTTTCTTGCGTTTCGTGGTTGACTGACTGACTGACTGACTGACTGGCTGACGATATAAAACAAAATGCAAGAGAGAATAACCAAAAGTACAAGCACGATCTGACTACGATAATTTTATATCGTTTTATGGAGTCGTTCAATTTTTTTAAAAATTAATACCTTAATTAGTACTCTTATAAATTAACAAAGATATTTCACAGATTTTGTAGAATATCGTTAATAACCAAGAAATTAATTTTTGATCGTGTTGTAATAATTCAAAAGTTGTTTTAAAATGTCTAAGCCATTTTAGAAATATAAAGAAAATATTAAAATCGAAGAAATATATATATAAATATATATTTATATCAAAAATATGTTTTATATTAAAATACTGTATTAAAAAATAATTTTTCAAGGATATTGATAAAAGCAAAAAAATTAAATACTAATATTTTGAAAAAGAATACTTCTGTTTAAATTTAAATTAATATATAAATTCTTTTTAAGCGTATAAAAATTAGCAAATATCAAAAGTAATAACAATCTCGAAATCTACCATCTAACTAATATATTCTGATAGAAAGACAAGGATTTCCAGCGTTTTCTCGTTAATCGTGAGAAACGACAATTTCCTCGATCTCATTGTTTCTGCTTACAATAAGAGGGAACATTGCGGCGGATAATGCCGCAATACGATCCGTAACACGGTGCGCGTGTCGCAATCGCTCTGCCGTGAAAGTCTCTCTCGAACTGAAAAGGCCAAATTTGATTGGTTTCGATCCGTCTTATACCTTAAACGGTCGATATAATGTCCGAGCTATTGCGACTTTTACGTATTCGAACATGAAATCTGTCCACTCGAAATATTGTAGTATTTTAAGACTCTAAATTCAAAATTTACCGATTATTATTTGTTTAGTCGTACTTGTGAAATTCACATGACCTTATTAGGTCGTTCGAATGCAACAAGTATGTTTTAGACTAGGATACTATATTGAGATATTTTTACAAAACATACAATTTTAAAAATCTCGCCATCAAAATATACGTTTATTTTATGACGATATAAAACTTACTAATAATAATGCTTATTATTAAATTATCTAATTTCAAGTACAATTCGGCACACGAATGCGTGGCGATATGTAAAGTGATATTCGTCGATGAAATTCTGCACTGTACGAGCCGTAACAATTACGCTAATGCACCCGCTGTAATTGAAACGATCAATTCCCAGCAGTCCTTTCCAAATGCGAGCTAAGCGCGCCAGTCACGAACGAGATAATAGCAAACCGCAAATTTTCTTAATGACAGACTTCTTATTCGACATAAGGTAGCCGGCAATTAACTGTGCATGATAAATAGACGTGGATAAACCGTGCACAAAATTATTCAATAAAGGAAACACGTGAGGTAATTTAGAATTGGTCTCGGCAACGACGGAGACAATTGGAATAATTATGATAGCAGCGGAATAAATATGATATTAGTATGACAATATTATAGAATCAGAATTAACAATCGTTATTTTAAGTAATCCCAATTAACTAATAAACTAATAAAAAGCGTTGATTTTTTTCTGAAATATTTAAAATTTAAAAATAAATCTTTCATAACGTTATGAATAAATTCGAAAATTAAAAAATTACGTTCATATTAACATATAAAATAAAATAAATGGATTAATTTAATATTTAATGATTACATTGTGCGATTAATCTTGGAAGAAACCTATTCCTAAAATACATTGCAAAAATAGGAAATTTTAACCCAATTTTCTTGAACAAGGTACAGATTTGTTACAGAACTGCGAAGAAAAATATATTTAAATATATCTCGAAATCAAAAATCAGAGATCTTTCTTCGTTAAATTACGTTGGTGAATTTATAAAACATTAAGTATTGTACATATTAGGTATCTAAGATATGCTACGTCGTCTATGTATTTCCGTTGACTTCCGGTGGAACATCAGAAACGCGAGATGGTGGATGATGGACTAACCGACTAACTGAGAGTAATTAATAAGCTCCCGGGTAGGCATCCATAATCCAAATGGCGGTTCCCTAACTTCGTATGAGTTAAAGACGAACCCGATTGAATTAATTAGCGCACACATCGTGAATTCCGAAGTGGAGATAATTAATTTTTAAGCCTAACCACGCTAATTGATCCGGCGCGCACACACGCGAGCCTTTCGATCGTTTTCTAATATGCATGCGACAGAATTGAATTGCGAATGACGAAGTCGTCGATAAAGATAACGATTGATAGCATTTTGTATTACTTCAAGAAATAAGTAAATTATATTAATTATTGTATACATCAAAAATTTATGTATCTGACTATCTTGTAATTAAGTCAAGATAACACTTTCTGAAAAATGTTAATTGTTTATAAAAAATAAAAAAAGAAAAAACAAGCTAAAATTGCATTCTCAATTCTAAATATAATTTTCGTCACTAGCTTTTCATACAACCGGATGATATATCTTTTTATCCTGTCTGGAACATCTCATAATTCTTCTCGGAAAAGAAGTAAAACCGATATATGGGTTTGACAGACCGAGAACCGTTTGTTCCACGGTTAAACAGCTTGACGTAAAAAACGACGATTCACGCAGCTCGTCGACAGAGTCAGACCTGCCTATCGCTCCATCGAAAGAGATACGAACGCCCAGAATGAGAAAGAGAGAGAGAGAGAGAGAGAGAGAGAGAGAGAGAGAGAGAGAGAGAGAGAGAGAGAGAGAGAGAGAGAAAGAGACACTCCAACATCCTGTCGCCGTTAAAATGCGCGTGGAAGGATAACGATAAGGGTGCTGCCATCTGCCAGGTTTTAGTCACCCCGGAGGAAGTGAGAGCAGGCGCAAAGTATGCAGCTCGCGCGAGGAGGATCCAGGATCGCAGAATCGGCGACGAGAGTCGGCAAGAAGTCGTTACGATGGCGATGGCGGAGAAAGCAGAGAAACCAGGAGGTGAGAGGAGGAAAAGGAGGCGGTGGAGGCAACGGTGAATGGCATAGAGGAAGGGGGGAGGATGAGGCGTGTAATACGGTGCCTCTCCTTGCCGTCGACTTGTCCGCCAGATCGATTCGTTGGCGGAAACGTCGGTCTCGAGAATTTCACGGGGATTATACCACACTTGAACGATTCCACAATTCCCTCTCGCCCTCTCGCCCTCTCGCCGTGCGAGAAATAACATTTTCGAGTCGAGAATTTCGCATTGCGCTCGAGGGCGAAGAAAACTGGATTGGACATGACGACATGATTACATTAATGAATACAACAGCCAACGTCACGAAACCAGACGAAGAAGTCCGTCGTATTTTAAGCTTATAATCATAATTATTTCATTCATATTCGGCAAAATCATTATACAAAGAAAAGAACGATAGAGATATTTGTGACTTTCTTTCTTTTCTCTGAGATCTCTTCAGACATCTTTTTCATCGTCATTTCCTCTGCAAGTTGTACAAGCGTACACTCGCAAGTTAGAAATGTGATCATCTCCGGCAGACATTTCTTCAAATGTCAACGTCGGCGATCACGCTGAGATAGTAACATCCCTCCGCCATCGCATTTGCTCACTCATGCCGAAGGGATTAAATCCTTAAGAACCGGACGCAGATGGTTTCTACGTTACGCATTACCCGTGTTACGTATCGCATCTACAGTTTATTCTGCAACGTAATGCGCAGCGTCATGAAAACATTCAGGTAGCATAACGAGCGTAAGCTGTGCTAACTCGATATCGCCGTCATCTTTTCCACGTCAGTACTTAGGCGCTAAAGACGCGATCGCCGATGATCGATTCTCCTGAAGGAGAGACGATCCGCGGAGAACGGGTGGACGGAGGGATGCAAAAAGCGCGCGTGATACGGTCTTCTATTCCGACTCGCGTGTATCAGTAGACCCATCTAAATCGTCGGGGAACGCCACGGGTCCGGTTAAGCCACGGTGGACTGGCGGCGGTGCGGGGTTGCGAGCGCAGGGAAGGAAGGAAGAGGAAGAGGAGAATGAGCGAGACGGAGAGAGCCGAGTAGAAGGTAGTGCAGGGTGAGATGAGATCCTCGGGTCGCGCGACGGGGATCGGCGGGAAGGGTTGCCCCGGAGATTGGTGGAAGCACCTAGCACTAGAGGAGCTCGCGACAGGAGCAGCGTTGCCATCGGGTTGTCTGGCTGATTTCCCGCTTCGAGTCGAGCGGAGTCGTCCCTTTAGTGATCCCCAGAGAAGCCCGGAGACGGGAAGGGGTGAGAGAAAGGGTCCGTGCGGGTTGAGCGGGCTTGCCGGAAAAGCGGTGGGATGCGCACGCGAGGGTGCGCGATGCGGGGGCGGGAGTGCCGATGGCGGTCGGTCGGGGGAACGTTCGGGGGTTGACGGGGGTTGGCGGGAAGGAGCGCCGGAGCGTGTAATTGAGTCCCGTGCGCGATCGCTACTTTATCGACCCCCTTATGCCGCACCCCTTCCCGCGCACGCTGCCCCCGTACCTCGATTCGCCACCCCCGCGCGACCGATGGAAGCCGGTATTTTACCCTATGTGTGAACCCCCCGTCGCGTCCTCGTCCACTCTACGTCGTTCTCGCCACCCCCTTATCCCTCTCACCGATTCTCCTCCTGTCATCCTCGCTCGCTCGCTCGCTCGCTCGCTCGCTCGCACATTTGAGGGCGTCCCACTGTATATGTACGTTAGCGTCGAAGGACGATGACGACGACGACGACGACGACAGCGACGACGACGATGAGATCGAGACGGGCGCCGTCGAGTACCGGGGACGCGCCAGTCAAGTGTGTGTCAGCGTGCCCGAAATTGATAGAAACGAGCTGCCGGTCCTCCGCACATATTCCTGCGAGATATCAGTATCACGACGGATCCGTCACATCAACTGGAATATTTTTAACATCTTCATCGTAATCAAATAAATCTCCACTTTTGGAGATAATCATTAATATTTGCGGATATGCGTATATAACAGACGTTTAGAAAGCATTTTTGAAATAATTTTTTAAACCTGGTGAGAAAATTCGCTATCATCATGCGATTTACTGCGAGAATAAAATATTTGCTCAATCGAAAAAAAAAATCTAAAAAATTCTTATAATGTAATGTGACAAAATTTTGCTATTTTGCAAAAAAATTCATGTCAATCATCATTCAATTCTTTTCATATTAAACATCGATTGCGTTGTCGCCTGGACACAGTCGATGCTATTGTTACTGAAAACTCCTTTCAATATTAGCGCGATAGTCGCTTTACGACTACAATTCGCACCGAAAATGAAACTACTTTCGCAGACGCTATCGAGCATTCGCATAACAGCTAATTGCGTACAATCCATATATAGCGCGTGTAGGCACATATCAATTTATGTACATATGTATTTCAATGCATTCGGCAAGAGACCCGAACTAGATACGCACCCCCCCCCTCCCTGTGTACCACCGAATCGCTCGTTTGTCAAATTTTCAGATCTCTTTGCTGTTCTCCCCTACAATGCTCTATTTCGATTTGTCGAGCTTATCTCGACTGTTGATGAATTGCTGATATGAATTCAGTAGTGATACTAATAAAAAATTTCCGCACCATGTTTGCAAATATATTAAATATTAAATTAAATGTAAGTCAAGCGATAAGAATATTTTCTAATTATCAACAAATATGTTTTTCAAGAATTTGATTTTTTTCCCCTTTTATTTTTTATCTTCGAATGGAAATAATTTTGCGGCACAAATTATTTTCAATTATTTTGTTAAATTTTTATTTTCCCTAAATCTAGGTACGGATGGTGTGCGTGATGGACGTTGAAATAATTTGCATAATACCGGCACATTAAGGAGCAATACGCCAAGGCTTATTCACGGAAATGTTTTTCAATTTCAAATTGCAAGTACGCAACGCAAACGATAATGCAAACCGATGGAGAATCAATGATACATCATCGGGTGCTCTCGCGAATAATTAGCATACTTTTACGTAATGAATGCTTACTCGCGATCTGAGGCATTTCTCATTTCCTGTCCCGCAATTACAGTGAAACTATGATGGTGCATTTCGGTGCTTTCTCCTGGGAAACGATCGATCGATCCTCCGAACGGTCATTAACTGATTGGAAAACATACGTGTTCGTTATGTGGCGACCAGGCAGCGAAAGGGTTGCGGCAATTTGCAACAAAATTAAATTGATTCAGTGCATAAGGGAGATGATATGGTGGCTTGACACGAAACGTCACGGCTCCACTGCTCCTTTTCCCGGCGGAGTCGAGGAACCATGATTTATTCTATGTCGTACGCTTAACATTACCATGCTTAACCCTTCCATTTCCAACCTACCCTCGAATATTTGAACATTATAATTTCTCTCTAGTCTCCTTTGAGAGTTATTACAAGCGATAGTACAGTCATCTAAAACTTTTATAAAAATATTTGTTAAAAAATTCGAAAACTAAATAAAATATCATAAAAAATATATCGCACTAAATTTTAAACATGACACTTTTTTGATTTTTTGATTTTTTACATCTAAAAAAACAGAGAAAGAAAGAAAGAAAGAAAGAAAGAAAGAGGGGATGGAAGGGGGAAAGCGAAGCCAGCAATCCAGCCACGAAACGTCACGGCTCATTTCTCGCCCGCGTGACAATGGAGGCTCGGAAAAGAGTATTAAAGGTTGGTCGCAGGACGTTAAAAACAGAGAGAGAGAGAGGAAAAAACGCGAACCGATTACATGAAGAAAGTAGGAGAGAAGGAGAGAAAGAGATTAAACCCTTCAGTCCCGCGAGATCCTTTAAGACGAGAGAGCGAGCAATGTTCATAATAGAGAAATGATTTGATTAAAATGTAAAGAAGGCACGGCAAACCTTCTGTTTGCGCATTTCACGGTTCGCCTGTAAAAAGCACGACGCCACCCGTTAGACAGATGGCAGTCGCCGCACTCAATGGCCTGAGAAATTGGATCGCGTTTTAACTCCCTTACGTTTTCAGGTTCGAGGTGCAGATACCGACATTGCCTTGCAGCGAGCGGCAACGTGCAGACGAGGGAAATTCCCAATTCCGAAGAAACGACGTTTCCTCCCTTCGTATTCGCCCTCTCGCAATCTTACACTTTTCTCCAAATCGCAACTCGTCGTCCTTATCGAACACTGTACATCCTCCTAAGAGACACGCCCCCGTAAAGGAGACAACTTTGGGAGATATCGAAAGGACAGAAGTCGAATCAATTTAGTATTAAACCTATGTTATCTTATAACTTAGAGCAGATTGTTGTAATTTATTGCATTAATTACGATATCTATATATACTTATAAGTTAAAAATAAAATATTTTTTTATATCCATATTCTATCAGTATTAATTAATTTTAACTTCTGTTTAATTTATTCTTTATCTTGGTCTACTTCTTTCAGAAAAAAAAAGAGCAAATAAAGGCAAATTAAGCCGGCATTAAAGCTGATCTACATTGGTGGAAAAAGATAATTAGAGATTTTTCGATTGTTCTGGTCTTAAGATAACGATATATAATAATACATGTAATGTACTCAAGTAAAATTGCAGACAATTCGAGTTGTCAATTCGAGAATGACCTACGAGCTCGAAATCAAATTTAATTGTACCATAGCGCGTCGTTAAATGCACGTATACGGCCTCGTCTGGAGGCCGCATACGTATAATAAGCGATATAAATAAATTCGAGAACGCAATTTACAAATGAGCGTCATCTGGATAATACGGCGCGGATGGTAAAAAGCTGGAAGAACTCGCTCGTGTGGCGGGCAAATTGTGGCGGGCACGCATGCTTTAAGCTAATCACAGACCGCGCGACTAGGAGCAATTTTCGTTATGACGAGCAATTAAAGGGTGGAGTGGGTGGTAATTTCCTATAAATTGTGTCCTACGGCGGCGCTCACGTAACGGAAACACGTGAACAGAGTAACGCGACCGTATAACCGTGACCGACGATCGACCGCGTCAGATCGAACGCGGAAGATCCTCGTGGGAAACGGCGACTGAAGCATCAGCATGACAGTCACGGAGATAGTTATAGTGACGGCGATGGCTGTGGCGATAATATTAACGAGCCTGAATGTGGAATAGACAATGATATCGACAATACTAAATGGATTGACATATAGACAAGATCACTAGCAAGCCTCTGACAGCGACAACGTTGCCAGCGATAATGGAGTAGCCATGCCACAATCAGTGATATAATGATGGTAATGATAACGAGACCGGCGTTAATAGCAACGACGACGGACGCTGACAGAAATAGAAACAGCGCGTGGATACCGCCTATTTTCTTTGTCTTCATCATCAAAGTGATTTTTGCAATACCCTGCAACGATTTTCACTCTGTCCCGTGAATGAACGAAGAAATTAAAGATTTTATTATCGCACTATTTGATTTTACTCTATCTTTTCTTCGGTGGTGATAACAATAGCGACGATTCTCGATGATGAATGATCTCGGTGATAATATCCACCGCGTATATATACACGAGTCTACTTACTAATCTAAAAGAGGTTCTAAATGTGAGTGACAGCAATGCGATAGCAAATAGTAACGACGTCGTCGGTGGTGGTAGCGACAGGCAGTGGTGCGGTCGCGCAAGCCACACCGTCTCGTTACGCCGCGTCGCAGTTTAGTGGCCGGGATCACAGTGGCGCGCGGATGCTGGGAAGTAGCGGCTCCTCGGTATTGTAATCTAATCGAACGGAATGGATCGCCCGTTGCTCGTGGTCGTTGCGTTGGCGGTCCTTCCCCGTCGCCAGGAAGGAAGGAAGAAAATTCGAGAGAGAAGGAGCAAAGGAGAGCAGAGGACAAGAACGGAACGGAACGGAAGCGGGCGATGAGGGAAGAGGGAGAGAGAGCTGCCTCGAGCCGTCCGTGTGGGTGGACGATCCCGGGTTCTCGGGAGCAGAAGATGATACGGAGGCATGGTCCAGCGGTTACCAGCAGCCTCGGTGGTAGGAGGCAGGACCGCGGCTCGGTGGGAGAAAAAGGCGAACTGGAAGAGGGGGCACGAAGAACGCGGTGGGGATACCGATGAACCATCGGTGGAATGGACGGACGAGGAGGGCAGATGGGGAGGGGGAGGACAAGCCTGGTGGCAGCAATCACCGTGA